TTGTTGAAAGCTGGACATGAAAAAGCTGGGTAGACAGGTCTGTAGTGTGAGGTTTTCTTTTCCTGGGAAAGGAGTTAGTCTGTATTTAATGTTTGCTGTAGCTGTAGAGATCAGAGGTAAAATTTCCTCTAGTGCTTTTGCTTTTATCTCCCCTGTTGTCTTTGGTTTTTCCTAGACGCTGCTCCTGAAGTAGAGTCAGAGCCCTGTGTGGTGGTTTCAATTTTAATTCGCTGTCATTACACAGGAGTCCTGTTGATGTGGCAGCATGGTGGAGGGGAGGAGAAGCACTCTGTAATACTATTGTTTGGTCTCGGTCTTTCACTGAACCTGTGCTCCTGGGCTGTGACCTTCACCAATGCTTCTCAGCTTCCCTTCCCCTTCCTACCTGTGAAATCTTAAGTGAGATGGGAAAGCGAGAAGGAGATGGAGTTGGGTTTTTCCTTCCCTGCACATTGCTTAGGCTCTGGTAGAATCCAAGTTGTGGCTCTCTAAATAAAGTTTTCCTTGAGGTGTGTCTTTGTTAAAAAGAACAGAATGTTCTGACTGTGTTTTACAGTAGTAATTTTTCCCTTGCCCCTACCAGAAGCATGACAGGGATTTTTCTCTGGTCTTCACTGTGAGAACCTGGTGGGGCTTCTGGAGGTAAAGGAAGGCTGGGTCCCCAGGAGCTCTTACCTGTCACGCTGCCCCATGCTCAAGCTCTGGGCTACCAGTTGCTGGCTCTGGGAGCAGCTTCTGCCCCCCATGAGCTGTGAGTCTCTGTGTCTACCTGGCTGTCTGTCCAGTCTGGGGGATACTCGTTTGCCCTGCGACCTCAGTTCTCTAAGCCATCTAAGAAAAGTTGTTGATTTTTAGTTTCTTCTGCAGTTTTTCTCCTTCTGAGGAGAGGAGTTATGATTTCCAACATCTTTATATATTGGGTCAGAAACCAGAAGTTGCATGTCACACATAGATATCGTCAATACCTTTTCTCATGCCATCGTCTTTCAATTACCAGTAATTACCCTTCATTGAACAGAAATCCTTAATCTGTCTGTCAAAACATCACCACTATTTTTCCCTTTGGATTTATCCTCTTAAAATTTTGTTCAAGATTTTCCTGTCCTCAGTTGGAAAGATATTCTTCCATATTTTTTTCTATTGATTTTGTAATTTTAACTTTACCACTTAGGTCTCAGTTCATGTGGGATCCACCTTCTTGAATGTTGTTGAGGAATTACTCAGTTTTGTTTTTCTCCATACAGGGAGCCAGTTTTCCCAGTGGAATCTATGAAACAGTCCAGTTTTTTATCTGTTTGATTCATGGTATATTAAGTTCCTATTCACACAGCTTCCGTTTCCCAGACCTGTTTTCAATTCAAGTCCACTTTGTTCCTGTGCCAGTAGTGCAGTGTTCTGACTATGTCAATATCTAGTAGGACAAATAAATCCCTTTTCTTTCTTTTTTTAAACTGCAAGTGTTCTTTAGAAATGTATTCGTGAGTAAATTTCTTCTGGGTTCACCTTCGTGCCTTCTTTCTTCCATCTTTAATTCAAAAGAAACACAAAGATTCCTTTAGGCAAGGTTCCAGACAGTGAGCGCGCCCTTTCTTCTGCGCTTAAGGGACACAGCTATTCCTTCGTGCTGGGACCTGTGCTGCAGGCTGTTTTTGAGGCAGGCGCATTCCCAGCCTGTTGCCCCCTTCCTCCGGCCTGCCTCATAGCTGGGGTGCTCACCTGTGACAGCCGACTGAGGTGACCGATGGTGACAAGCTGGGGACTGCACCATTCTTTACAAAAAGCTAGCCAATCTAAAAAGACTACTCTTAGAGGCCATCATATATTCTCCCATACTGTAGGATGCCTCTTTGTTCTCTTGATGGTGTCCTTTGTCTGCTACAGTGTTTTTGACTCTAAAATTTCCTTTTGATTCTTTCTGAAAGTTTCCATTTCTCTCCTTATGTTACTCACCTATTCTTATGTGCAGACCTTTTTTTTTTTTCCACTAGAGCTCTTAGCATATTAATCAGTCATTTTAAATTCTCAGTCTGATAATTCTAAAATCCCTACCATATCTGAATCTGGTTCTGATGTTTGCTTTGTCTCTTTGAGATAGGGTAGGTAGACAGCCAGATATAAGCAGGGGGAGGAGCAGGGACCCTGGCTGGTGGTTTACATTCTACACATTCCATGTAAACTATTCTGTCAGGGTGGGGGAGAGTGAGAATGGAGGGAACAGACCAGCTGACACCAGCTGGTTCCAACATGGAGATACTGACCCCCAAGTACATCACACACTCTTTAACTTAGAAAAATCACACCCCTCCACCATTAACATAGTGAAGGTCACGCCTCTGTGCTATGACACTTCCAGGGAGAACCAAACAGTCAAAAACTCCTCTGCCCAGAGTGAGTGTGGAGTAAGCCCAAACTCCAAGAAGACTCCACCTGTTCCCTTGGAAATCTATTCCCACTTAGTAAATATTATCTTCCTTTACATAAAAAAGCTCCTTATTTTGTCCTCAGGAAAACTCACTCACTTGTCTGCCTCCGCTCAACTCTCAATGTATAATTCTCTTTTCTTTAAACTCCTGTTCTCCAATAAACTCCTAAAACTCAACCACTTTCGTGTCTGTCCTTGAATTCTTTCTTGTGATGAAACCAAGAACCCATCTCTGGTAACATTAGACTGTGTTTCTTGCCTTTTGGCATGGTGTGTAATGTTTTGTTGAAAGCTGGACATGAAAAAGCTGGGTATATAGGTCTGTAGTGTGAGGTTTTCTTTTCCTGGGAAAGGAGTTAGTCTGTATTTAATGTTTGCTGTAGCTGTAGAGATCAGAGGTAAAATTTCCTCTAGTGCTTTTGCTTTTATCTCCCCTGTTGTCTTTGGTTTTTCCTAGATGCTCCTCCTGAAGTAGAGTCAGAGCCCTGTGTGGTGGTTTCAGTTTTAATCCGCTGTCATTACACAGGAGTCCTAATGATGTGGCAGCATGGTGGAGGGGAGGAGAAGCACTCTGTAATACTATTGTTTGGTCTCGGTCTTTCACTGAACCTGTGCTCCTGGGCTGTGACCTTCACCAACGCTTCTCAGCTTCCCTTCCCCTTCCTACCTGTGAAATCTTAAGTGAGATGGGAAAGCGAGAAGGAGATGGAGTTGGGTTTTTCCTTCCCTGCACATTGCTTAGGCTCTGGTAGAATCCAAGTTGTGGCTCTCTAAATAAAGTTTTCCTTGAGGTGTGTCTTTGTTAAAAAGAACAGAATGTTCTGACTGTGTTTTACAGTAGTAATTTTTCCCTTGCCCCTACCAGAAGCATGACAGGGATTTTTCTCTGGTCTTCACTGTGAGAACCTGGTGGGGCTTCTGGAGGTAAAGGAAGGCTGGGTCCCCAGGAGCTCTTACCTGTCACGCTGCCCCATGCTCAAGCTCTGGGCTACCAGTTGCTGGCTCTGGCAGCAGCTTCTGCCCCCCAGGAGCTGTGAGTCTCTGTGTCTGCCTGGCTGTCTCTCCAGTTTGGGGGATACTCGTTTCACTGCGACCTCAGTTCTCTGAGTGATCTAAGAAAAGTTGTTGATTTTTAGTTTCTTCTGCAGTTTTTCTCCTTCTGAGGAGAGGAGTTATGATTTCCAACATCTTTATATATTGGGTCAGAAACCAGAAGTTGCATGTCACACATAGATATCGTCAATACCTTTTCTCATGTGAACGTCTTTCAATTACCAGTAATCACCCTTCATTGAACAGAAATCCTTAATCTGTGTCAAAACATCACCACTATTTTTCCCTTTGGATTTATCCTCTTAAAATTTTGTTCAAGAAGATTTTCCTGTCCTCAGTTGAAAAGATATTCTTCCATATTTTTTTCTATTGATTTTGTAATTTTAACTTTACCACTTAGGTCTCAATTCATGTGGAATCCACCTTTTTGAATGTTGTTGAGGAATTACTCAGTTTTGTTTTTCTCCATACAGGGAGCCAGTTTTCCCAGTGGAATCTATGAAACAATCCAGTTTTTTATCTGTTTGATTCTTGGTATATTAAGTTCCTATTCACATAGCTTCCGTTTCCCAGACCTGTTTTCAAGTCAAGTCCACTTTGTTCCTGTGCCAGTAGTGCAGTGATCTGATACTATGTCAATATCTAGTAGGACAAATAAATCCCTTTTTTTCTTTTTTTAAACTGCAAGTGTTCTTTAGAAATGTATTCGTGAGTAAATTTCTTCTGGGTTCACCTTAGTGCCTTCTTTCTTCCATCTTTAATTCAAAAGAAACACAAAGATTCCTTTAGGCAAGGTTCCAGACAGTGAGCGCGCCCTTTCTTCTGCGCTTAAGGGACACAGCTATTCCTTCGTGCTGGGACCTGTGCTGCAGGCTGTTTTTGAGGCAGGCGCATTCCCAGCCTGTTGCCCCCTTCCTCCGGCCTGCCTCATAGCTGGGGTGCTCACCTGTGACAGCCGACTGAGGTGACCGATGGTGACAAGCTGGGGACTGCACCATTCTTTACAAAAAGCTAGCCAATCTAAAAAGACTACTCTTAGAGGCCATCTAGTATAATCAGCTTATTTCTAGATGAAAGTACTGAGGCCAAAGTGAGGTGAGGTGAGGTTATTCACCGAGATCTCGCAGCTTCCTCTTTGTGGACCATGAATCAGGCCTTCTCCTTGACTATTAGTCCACTGCTTCACGCATTTGGTGTCCCATATGGCTTCCCTCAGCAAACAGGTCAGACAGGCTCAAAGAGGTAACTCAGAGACATCCCAAAATAACGGTGCTGTTCATTTTAATGTATGTCTCATGGATCGCTGGGAATGTGACACATTCTTTGAGTGAGTCATCAAACATGAATTAAGATCTTGCAGACAGCAGCTGGAATTTCTTTTCTTGATTACTGAGAACTTCAGGCATCTTGGGTTTCAGTAATTAAGTAAAATAATTCAGTAATTTAGTAAACTTAATTCAGTAATTAAGTAAAAGAATACATTTCAAGGTCTACCGCAAATATTTTGAGGACAACAAAGCTCTGACAGCAGGAAAGGGACAGAATTAGAAGCTGCAGTGACCTAATTGCACTACCATTGGCAGTGACTGATTGATTCTGTGTACACAGCTGCTTCAACCAGAGCATGGAGATAAGGTAGGCCTGTGTTGTTAGTGTAAACCTTGTATCATTAAAAGTTAATATGTGGTTTCCTTTAAACTAAGAGGCTACTCCGCCTCCAACTGGCAGATGCAACAGAAAAAAAAGAATATATATGTATTTTTTAACATCTATTAAGAAAGAAAATTAATTTACCAACAATTAACAGTACATCACAATAATGTATATTGTACTTATTACAAGGAATATTGTTAGAGCATTTTAATATCTTATGATCCTTCTGCCTCAAGAAAGTAGCCACTCATATTTTTCAGTTTTCCCTTGTTTAAAAGAATACATATTTTACACATTATCATATGATATTACTGGTAAATATATTGCCCCATGGCTTAAGTTTAGAAGTTTTGTGTGTGTTTGAATGTTACTTATAGTTTGGTGAGATAATTTTTTTGCACCCCTCCTAGAACTGTCCATTACCGCAGACTGGACTGCCAAACTCATGCCCGCCTGGGCAAAGACGTCTCAGCCCTGCGCAACCTTCTTTTCCAGCAGATAGCTTTTCAAGTAAGTCCACATGAAATCAGTGCATGGATGCTTTACCGTCTCGGTTCAGGTGAAGTGAAACTAAGCAGGGAAGCTGTGGCGTGATGTTTGCTGTGGCACAGAGCAGGCTCGGGCTTCCTCCCGTCTAAAGTTGGTAGATGAGAAAAGCCTTCACATTTAAATCCTGATATTAAGGAGTTGCCAACGTCTGTGAACCAAGGTCTTCATTACAGTGTATTTATAATAATGAATAATTTGCATCAAATATCCTACCATACAGAATATATTATTATTCATTAAAATATTTTAAGCAGCTACATCAAAGGTCGTTTTTAAATACAAATAATGACATAAGGAAATTTTTATTTTGAAATAGACATTTGAATGTAAAACTCCATAACAGATTTGACATATAGTAAAATTTAATTGAAGAGGAGGTGGCCAGTGTGTTTATGCTTCGTGTACATATATGTATATGTACATAAAAATAGTCCCCAGAAGAAATGTCTAAACCTTCACATTATCTGGGTTGTGAATTTATGGGCCATTTTATCCCATTTCCCTATATATACATTCCTAAAATTCAAAATTGACTACAATTATTTTTATAACCAGGAAAATAAAAAAGTATGTTTAAAATGCCTTCCACCCTTTTCTGCTAAAGGCGAGCAGGGCCAGTAAGGTCCAGTAAACTGGTTTCTGTATTAAGCAGGGTCCAATTTCACTAGAGAGCCTCACGGTGAGGACAGGGTCCATCAGACCTGGTTGCCGCTCAGTACGATTATTACAGCGGACCGACTAAGAGAGTAACATGTAACGTACCTTAGGACTTGGATCGCGTACAACCAGGCCTAGGGCAGAATTGCAAAGGGAGGCCACGTAGCATGTCTCTAAATGTTTTGAAGAGATAAGTCAAGCTAACTATTCAATAAGATCTGTTTCAGTCTCCTGTGTGGAGAGGTGTGCCTCCATAATTACCTGAAGGCCAGGATAGAATTTAGAATCTGAGGATTCCTCAGGAATCTGGGACTCCATGGGACTCGGCAGCAGAGGCAGAAGCATATGCCCTCATCTTCCCTGGCCCCTTGCCCCTGGCCCAAACTCAAAAACAGGCCTTGCGGTCATTGTGGGGACACAGGTCTGCCGTTCCAAGCTCTGTGCCTGCTGCATTCATGGCCACCCTCAGCCAGCCCTGGTGGGTAGGTTGGGGGAACCTCCTATGATGGACCTGTCCATACCCTGGAATTGGTGTCCTGGGTACTCAGGGCCCTGGATTCTCAAAAATAGTCTGGAAGATGGGTATGACTGCTTAGTCCTGCCAACACTTTTCCCCAGTTTAGAGATTTGCTTTGGAAGGAGAAATGCCCCCATCAGTCATAACAGAAAGTCCATCCATCTCTAATTACCCAACTCAGTGACTACCAGATCATATCTGAAGTATCGTCCAACCAGCATCGTAGTGTTCACAGGCCTTCCATATGCCCTGTCAAGCCTAGTTACCTGCCTTCCTTCATGGTAACTCCCATGCCTTTTGACCCATCTCCCTGTCCCCATGCATGCTTGGTGAAACTATTCTCCCTAGCACATTCCCCCAAAGTATTACCTTTCAACAAACAGATTTTTCTTTTCATGATTTCAAATTCTTAAGCAAATTTATTTATTATCTTTCAAAGCAAAAGATTAGGTACAGGCCAGTTCCAGAGTTTGGGAAACTATCTAATCAGTGAGCATGGAGCCAGGCAGCTGGAGGCATCTTATAAAGAGATGATTGCATCCAGAGAAGCAAAGGGAATTTCTTTTGTGTGTACCTCTTTGTATTTTTAAGAATGTGTTTCCTTTGTTTTATTTATTATTCACTTTTTTAAATTTATACACAATAAAATCACTATTTCTAGTGTACATTTCTGTGAATTTGCACAAATGCATAGTCATGTGATCACTATCAAAGTCAAGATACAGAAATAGTTGCATTATCCCAAAAACTTCCTTCATACTGCACCTTTGTAATTGACCTCAAGTTCAACTCCTGGCAACCCACCAATCTATTTTCTGTTCCTATAATCTATGTTCACCCAAATGCGTATAAATGAAATCCTGCTCTGCAGCCTTGTAAGTCTGACTTCTTGTCCTTTCCAGAAACTATTTGAGCTTTGTATATTTGTTGTGTGTAGCAATGGTTTGTTCCTTTTGTCTTTTGTTTCTTTGGTGAATAGTATTCTATTGTAATGATAAAAAAGTTTGTTTATCCAACTAACTGTTTTAGTTTGATTCTATGATCTATTTTGAGTTAATTTTTAAATAAGGTTGAAGTTCATTTCTTTTTGTCTATGGATTGTTCTAGTTTAACTTATTATTTAAAGAATATCATTTTTCCATTTAATTGTCTTTGTACTTTGCCAAGCCAGTTGATTCTGTCCCATTGATGTGTGTGTATCCCCTTTTGTCAATAGCACACTGTCTCCGCTATTGTAGTTTATAGTAATCCCCCAAATCAGTTTGATTTTTCAAACTGTGTTCTTTTTCAAAATTATTTTGGCTGTTTGTTTCCTTTGCCATGCCAAATAAATTTCAGAACCAGCCTGTCAATGGCAACAAAAAATTCCTGTTATGATTTTGACTGTGGTGGAGTTGAGTCAATAGGTGAGTCTGAGAATTGACATCACAAAAACACTGATTCTTCCAAGCTATAACCATGGCACATCTCTCCATTTATTTAGGTCAGTCTTCTTTGGTTTATTTCATCAGTGTTTTATACTATTTAGCATACAGCTCCTGCACAGGTTTTGTTATATTTGCTACTTGGTATTTAAACATTTCTGTTGCTATTTTAAATGATGCCTTTTAAAAATATCAATTTCCAGTTGTTCATTGTCAGTTATCATGGCTTTAAAATATTCCCACAGATTCTCTGACATTCATCACTTCAAGAAGTGGAGACTAATTTCTCTCCCTTCGAATGTGAGCTGCACTTAGTGATTCATTTCTAATGAGCAAAACAAAGTGAAAATGAGAACATGTAACTGCAGAGACCAGACCATAAAAAGTAATACGGAGTTCTCCCTGTGTCTCTCCTTGTCCCTCATGTCACTCACTCTAGGATAAACCAGATGCTATGCCATGAGGAACAGTGAGGAACTAGAGCCTCTGGCCAGTGGCCAAAAAGGAACTGGGGCCTCCTGCCAAAACCATGTGACTGAGTCTAGAAGCGGACCCTCCAGTCCCCATGAAGCCAACATCTTGACTGTGACCTCACAAGAAGCCCTGAGCCAGAGCCAATAAACTATGCACATTTTAGCCTATAAAAACTGAGAGATAATGAAAGTTTGTTATTTTAAGACACAATATTTTAGATAATTTGTCACACAGCAGTAGGTAAGTAATACACAAATATGTAGAAATGCTGTTGATGTTAGTGTATTGATGCTACAACCTTGCTAAATCATTTATTAGTTCTAGGAGCATTTTTATTTTTTGTGAGTTCTCCGGATTGCCTTCAGAGACATTCATGTCATCTGTAAATAGAAACAGTTTTAGTTCTTCCTTTCCAGTTGCCAGTATGCCTTCTATTTATTTTTCTTGCTTTGACTAGAACTTTCAGTACAGTATTAAATAAGAGTATTGAGAGTGGACATTGCTATCTGTTCCTGATCTTAAGGAGAAATATTCAGTATTTGTTGATGCCCATTATCAGGTTCCCTTTTTATCCTAGTTAACTGAGAGTTTTAGCATCATCATTTACCATTAATTAATTTTGTCAGATATCTGCCCTGCATCTGATGAAGTAATCACATAATTCTTTCTTCATCAGTCTCCTGATATGATAAGTTGCATTAATTGATTTTTGAATTTTAAACTAGGCTTGCATTCCTGGGATAAACTTCATTTGTTCAAGATGTGTTATCTGTTTTATATACTGCTAAATTTGAATTGTTACTATTTTCTCTAGAAATTTTGCATCTATGTTAATCACATATTTGGAAGAGCTATTTTTAGGAGAATACATGTTTAAAATAGTTATATATTCTTGGTGAATTAAGTATTTAATCATTCTGTAATATCTCTCTTTATCACTGGTCACAGTCCTTGCTCAGAAGTCTGCTTTGTCTGATATTGTATAGCCATTCCCGCTTTCCAGCTTCTTTTTTTTTTTTAATTATTTGCATGGTATATCTTTACAAAACTTCAACTGTTATCCTAACCTTACATTTACACTTAAAGTGGCTTTCATCTAATGCAGCATAGAAACTAACACGGAGAGTCAAGCCACTCAAAGAAAGAATATGTTTCAAAGAAAGAACAATATAAACCGTAAGAAAAACACTTTAATGAAATGACAATAAGTAATTTTTCTGATAAAAAATTCAAAGTAATGGTCATAAGGATGTTCATGAGACTTGGGAGAAGAATGAATGAGCACAGTAGGAAAAGCACCAAACAGAAGTCACAGGGTGAAAAGTACATACAAAACCTGAACCGAAAAATATGCTAGAGGGGTTCAACAGCAGAGCAGATGATGCAGAAGAAAGGATGAGTGAACTAAAGGACAGGATAGAGGAACTTAATCCAGAATAGCAAAAAGAAAAAAGAATGAAAAACAGTGAAGATAGCTTAAGGAACTTATGCGACAACATGTAGGGGGTTAATATTTGCATTATGGGAGTCCCAGAAGAAGAGAAAGAGAAAGGTGTAAAAAGCTTATTTGAAGATATAATGGCTAAAAACTCCCCTCGCAGGCATGCAGGTCCAGGAAGCTGAGAGAGTTCTCAAACAGCTGAACCCAAAGAGACTCACACCAAGGTACATCATAATTAAAGTGTCAAAAGGTAAAGATAAGGAGTGAATCTTAAAAGGAGCCAGAGAAAAACAAACTATTACATACAAAAGAAGTCCCCTAAGACTATCAGCACATTTTTCACCAGTAACTTTGTAGGCCAAAGGCAAGTGGCACAATATATTCACAGTGCTGAAAAAAAAAGAAAACTCCTAATCAAGAATACTCTACCTGGAACAATCATCATCCACAATTGAAGAAGAGAGTTTTCCAGAAAAGCCATTGCATAATGATAAAGGGGTCAATCCAACAAGAGGATATAACTTTTGTAAATATTTATGCACCCAATATAGGAGCACCTAAATATACAAAGCAAATAATAATAATAGACATAAAAGGAGAAATGCACAGCAGTGCAGCAATAGTAGGGGACTTTAATACCCCCACTTACATCAGTGGGTGGACCATCCAGACAGAATGTCAATAAGGAAACATTTGCCTTAAACAGCACATTATACCACATGGACTTAACAGATATATATAGAACATTCCATCCAAAGACAACAGAATACCCATTATTCTCAATGCACATGGAACATTCTCAGAATAGATCATACGTTTGGCCACAAAACAGGTCTTAACAATTTAAAGTAGGGTTACATATAAAACAACTTTCCTACTGCAATGGTTGAAACTAGAAATCACTCACAAGAAGAAAACTGGAAAATTCACAAGTATGTAGAGATTAAACAACATGTTTCTGAACAACCAATAGGTCAACAAAGAAATCAAAAGAGAAAAAAATATCTTGAGAGAAGTGAAAATGGAAATACAAGTGTAGATAAAGAACCAGGCTACCTCCTAGAACTAAGACTCCTTTGTTTTAGAAATCTTGGTTGGTTTCAATAACTGACTATTTGGAAGGCTTTTTTTTTTCTTTTCTTGAGGTTCAAACTCCTGCTCTTATGTTTTGAATTCACCAATAAAGAGCAAGTCCACAAAACCCTATGTCCCCACTCTCAACCCTAATAGAATCAGTAACCCAGGCCTGTGTGCTCTCTCTTTCTACCTGTGACCTTGCTGTGTGGACCCAGGTTTGCAGTGTAGTTTCTGGGTCTCGTAAATAATAACGCTCTTGTTTTCAGTTTCTTGATGGTTGTTGCTAAAGGGCATCTTGCCATCAAAATAAGAACCACAAGGCTTCGTCCAGTTGTAACGTTGGTATGGAAAGGGGAGACATCTGGGAAGCTCACTTGGGCTCAGGTGCTGCCGCCATGCATAACTGATAGCAGTACTCTCAATGGGCTGAGATTAATATAGACCAGTTGGCATAGCTGGCCTGAGTGCATGATTGTCCTCACAATTAGCCCAGGGAACACACTGTAGCTGCACCTGGCTTACTAATTCAAGTGGTAACATCACTGGGACAAGGAGAACCACTTGCTGGGGTCTGTCCTGCTGCTGTGCTTTCTCAGATCACCTCTGTCATGTTGTCTGCAGTATTCCACCCACATGTCCCAGCTCCCATAATGACCCAATGGTCTCCCCAGAGTACTGAGATCAAGGCCACCTGACCTACAGACACAACTACGTCACTAACTGTAAGGGTCTTAACTGTCTATTAATATGCATGAGGGCCCACTGTGCCTCCAGGCCAAGGAGAGCTAAGAAGAGTGGATTGGATCACGAGGCTATTGTCACCCACCAAGGAGAGGCTGTGGACTAAAGGTGTGAGAAAAGATTCTGCTAGACAAGAGAACAGGAGACCTCTGCCTGAGACCACTGAGTTGGTGGGTTGTCCCTGGACTACGTGTCCTAATGTAAAAGAGTGAAATTGCCTTCCATTTGGAAACCAGTGGCACTGTGGAAACCAGTGGCACCATGAAAGGGACATGCATCAGAGGCCTACAGTCTCTGTGCCACCATTTCACTCACTGCCATCACTCTTTGTCCCCTGATTTGATAATATATCACAGGTCCAATTCTTGGTGTGATGTTACTAAAAATGTTAATGGACAAATATAACTATCCCGAACATCTAGGCCTTGCCTCCTAAAAACCTGAGCAGGTATCCCAACTCCTGGATGAGTGTGAAGCCGCAGGAAAGCTCCCTGTGTCCTGCTACGTTCTGCAGCCCAGCAACATGCCAGGGTCTGGGAGTGTGCTGCAGAGGCCCAGGAGCTTTCCCAGAGACCCTGTGTGGGTCACCCTAGCAGAGGCGAGTCCCCCTGCCAGAGAGGTGGGTCGGCACACCCTGGGGAGAAGAGCGGCCGCCTATGAAGGGCACTCACAGGGGTATCATCCACAAATTTTTCCAGCAACAATATGTAAGATTAAGGTAATGGGGGAAAATCAAGGATCATAACACAGAAATCAGAAACTGTACCTTAACTAAAATTCAAACGTTTCTTAAACATTTTATGCAACAGGAAGAGAGGGGACCAGACTGGCTATTGCAGGTTTTGGGAATGGGCTCTGAATTGTCATTTGTGGTGGCCAAAATGTGTCAAATCACTGTATCCCTACAGACCCTAAAATCCATTACCTTCTTAAATAACCTTCTGGGCTACATGCTCGTTTTCTCTGTGATACCACAGATCCCTAGCGCCCTCTGCTTTCCCCTGAAAGGGACAGAATCGAGGAACATACCTCACAAGGTGTCCTGATTTCCAAGGGTAAAACTCACAGGGATACTGAGGCCACTAGCGAGGGAAAAGAGGGAGCAGAGTAGGCAGCAGCCCCTGGAGCCACTGGCATTCACACCAGGCCCTGCCACTCCTGGTGGGCGTTTACTGCCTGGAGCTGTGCCCATTCATCCATATGGTGATCACTGCAAAGGCCCAGCGAGCAGGAGACATCAGACAAGGCCCGTCCCCCGTGGCACAAACCGGTGTGGTCCACTGGGTCTGTCGTTTCCATGGCCACAGTGACCCACGGAGCCCCTCTTCAAGTCCAACCCTGAAAAGGCCCTATTTGACCCCGAGTCCAGAGGGCATTTTTTAGAGGGCATTCCCCTTAATTTATAGGACAACACTACTACAGTTTATTGGGATAAACCATCCAAAAGGCACTGAAGGACATTGAAATGGTTGCCAGACATAGAAGAGCTTCTGCTTCACACTGGTGACCTGATCAAGGATCAGTATGACCCTCTCACCACTGAATGCCCAGGCCAAAAGCCCAGAGTCAGTGAGAGAGTTCCTCTGGAAGCACTGACAGTGGCCAGGCCTCCATGCCAGCCACGATTCCCCAGCTGCAGCTGTGAGGCCTGGCTGATGGAACTAACGTCCGCTCCTGATTTACAGGAAAGAGATCATCACCCCAGGACCAAACCAGTGGAAGAATTTGGGTTTCTGAAAGAAGGAAAGAAGTCCTCCACTTGGCAGATTTGGAGATGAGAGCATGGCGAGAAAGCTGCAGGTCTGACCTTACCCACACTTGAGGAGGTGACCCATGTTTTCTTTCAGAGAGCAGCTCCCCTCAGTCATCAATCAATATACCTACAGCAGCCAGAAGGAGCCAAATCCAAGCTCATTGTATGTCCCTGCTCTATCTGGCTATGATCATTCCTATTGCTTCGTACAGACTGCGTGATGAAGATTACTGGCAGACCCCTTGGGCTTAACCATCGTACAGATGCAATGCTAGAACATACTGCTCCAGCTTGCAGTTGCGCCACAGGGTAACAAGGCGGGGAATGTTGGAAAGCCCTGTTGGAGAGACTCGGGCCAGCATGCTAACAAGGGGGCAACAAAGGGGCTGAATCCCTTAACAGGGAATGGGCCATGTCTAAATCACACTCACCCCTCCCTACTTCCAACCTCTGTGCATTGAATATTGCTACAAGCTACCTGGCCCTACGATTGCTGACACATAAAATCCATCTGGCTATAGGGACTATGCTCCCATGATTTGTCTATTGCCCTCACTGGTTGGTCTCAAGAATGCCTAAATAGCATTCATAAATTTCCCTTACCTTGGGATATAAATGTACCCAGAAGCCTTATGTGCTTTGTATGAAGACTGCAAGAAATGAAAGAGCAGCCACCATTCTGTTGCTAAATGTATCCCTAATGACCCAGAGAACTCTTAACAATATACTCCAGTAGCAGTAGGCATCAGATATGCAGCTCAATTTTTAGGGAAGCCATCAAGTTATATCAAGGTATAACTGACTGGTAACCAATACCCCAGCCCATGACCAATACCTTAACTGGATAGTGATGTGGAAGGGTCACCCACTCCCAGGGTGGCCACCAATGTAGAGGACCGCATCTCCTAGAGAGACAGACTTAGTGCAGGAGAGGACACCATTTCAGATGATATCACTTCAACCCGAGAACTTGCCACTGGAGATAAGTATGCCCCTGCACTAGAGATGACACACCAGGTATGCATCACTACATCAGAGACCTCACTGCACACCCAGATGGATCTATTTCCCTGTTAATGGTGAACTCAGCAGAACTCCCAAATGCAGACTAAGATTCTCTGGAAACACTGGTTAGATGTAGTGCCCTCGTGGAATCAGGGAATGACCCTCACTGGAATATTATTTTACAGAATTTTCCTGGTACTGGCTGGATGACCTTACCCTGTACCAAATGCCAGTCAGACCATGAGTATTTTCTCTTGGCTACGGGGCAACATTGTACCACATTTCTCCATTGTTGCAGGCCAAAATGTGCATCCACAACCAGACAGTTCCCCTGCCTACATGCACAGCCCAACAAGACTGCCCTCACCAGCTCCCCTTTACCTTCTAATTGTATGTGCTTACATGGGAATTCCCAACCTTTGGCGGTCACAAACCCTCATCTTGCTTTCCTCCAACTCTAGCATGATCTCTTCCACAG